CATATCACCAAATAGGTTGCCACGGCGCGCGATGTTTTCCGGGCAGGCAGTAGGTGGAGAAATGTCAAGGGCAGTCCAACGAGGACCTGACATGAGAATATGAAAACCCAAACCAGAACACAGAATCACATAGGTCCTGTTAGTCTCCCTGGATGGTGAGCTCGGGACAATCATAATCAATGGATATAGACACTGGGTGATATGACTCGGTGTCGCAAACAGTGGCGCTCGTGCATCTACTCTTTATTCTTGCAGCCCTCGTCCATATGGATTCTCTATAATCTCTTTGACTCTGCTCTTAACTTTCCTATCTTCATTCTGCTCTTTAATCCAAATGGGTAGCCAAAAGACCGCAAAAGAAACCCGCGCATGAAAATGCATGGTAATGGTTGTAGAACCTGGGACTGAAACTAAGCATATAATGAAAGAAAGGTTATGCGATGGAACGTTAAACCGTTGATTCTGCCTTTGAGGGACGAAAGGTCTATATCCTTAATGGAGAAAATGCCGGGGATCATAACTGATGAATTTAGCGTCTGCAACGTCAGCTGACAAAGAGCCTCGAGAAAGACCGTGAAAACCGGTTGGCGACAGCTATCGACACAGAAGCAGCCGCTGCATCAGCGAATAATCGAAGACTGTTCCAACTGATGCCCTATATGGGAGACCGGTGAACCCCAGTTAGGGAAACAGTCTGAGGTCAAAGGGGACATGCTGTTCATAATACGGATCAACGGCTTTACCGCTGGATGGAGTACTTCGATTAACAATTCAGCTGGCCAGACGCTAACCACACTATCTCGTCTGTTACAGTTGTGGGCAGTGTCGTGTAAACCTCCCACAGGAGCAGAATTACGATTTTGTATCTAGGCCCTGAAGAAAAGAAAGGCATCAGGACCTGGCGGTCTTCCTCCCACTCTTCAAGATGGCGTGCGATGCCCTTTTATATTCCATTACTGATTTACTGCGTAGTATCTGGTCGCAAGAGCCACAACGAGGGAGGTGTGTGATTCGTACGCCTCCTCTTGGTTAGTTTGGTATCAGAGTTTTTGGCCAACTCCACTAGGTGAACTACCACTGATCCACCAACTCGGTTATAGCCCTGGATGTCGACATTTCGTCCTCTCACTTTAGTGGAAAAATACCTACATTACGAGAAGACAGTAAATAGGGCTTCCTCCGTAGAGGAGCTTGGTCGTATGGGAGCATTCAGCGAAGTGCAAGGGAAGGGTGACCGATCGCAACCCTAGACACCCATCTCCTGACGGGACTAACCGGGTTGGTGAACCACTGGTAGTTCACCTAGGGGAGTTGACCAAAAACCCTGATTCCAAGCCAACCATGAGGAGGCGTACGAACCACACTCACTTTTTCGGTTGTGGCAGTGGTCACCGGCTCGATTGGGCATCGAGGTGTATTGGGCACCTTGAACGTTTGACCCCGTCCAAAGGGCGTATGGTCCGATGAACTGGCCCCCGGCCCCCAATAATCTACGAACTCTGAGCTCCGTCCTGTTGTCTTGCACGTCTGGCTTTTTGGCCAAAGACTTCGGGTGGGACCTTGAGGTTATCCCCCTTCCTCGGCCAGGGCAACCGGAAAGTAACATGCCCACCTATAAACACATCCTTCAGATTTCTTTTTGTTTATATGTTGTAGCATATTTGCTAATTCTCTCTAATTGGTTACGTGTTGAATAATAATAATAATTTCGTCAAAAACAAAATTCTGGAGAACGCACTAAGTAGTCTCCAACACGTAGGTATTGAATGGGCAGCTGGAGAAAGCTATGTAATTTAGAGTACGCCGGTGACATCGTCTGACTGTTCGAATGTATGGAGGACGCGCTCGATTGACTAGCTGTTAACACTTTCAGAATGTGCTTTGCACCTTCAAAGTAAAAAGTGACGCTGTAAGACTGGGTGATGATGAGGGATTGTAGCATTGGCAACCATGTATTGTAAGCATGAAAACTAGGTTTGTTTGATAATGTTTTTTTATTGAACAAGCTCGTTTTCGACAACTTCTTCGGGCTAATACAGTTATATAGTCAAATGAAAATGAAAATGTTCATCAATGGTTGTGTGATTCGTGGTTTTTGATTGTTTTTGGTGTGTGGTTGGGAAAGGGGTGGGATGGGAGGATGTGATCGCAACAAGGTTGGGAAAACAATCAGGATGTGGACGTGTCATCACGCGTTAGGGTCGCAGGGTCATGGGAAAGGTCAAGTNGGGGGGGGGGGGGGGGGAGTGTCACGTTGTGACCAAGGCAGTCTGAGTGATTGTACGAATCGCTTTTGAGAACAAAGCGATGGGTTTATTAATTGAATGGCCACGGCTTCGGCTGTTGCGAGATGACGTTGACGGGCGGCTTTCGAGGGGTGGCACATGGTAGATGATCCGAAATGCGTCATCGTTAACCTGATGCCCGGTATCGGCAAGATGGGCTACGATTGCACTTGAAGTCGTTTTTCTTGTGCCTGAACGCAACCAAATCGGTTTGTGTTCCTTGATTCTTTGGGACAATTGCCTGGTCGTTCTGCTTACTTATCTTGCCGAACATGAGTAAAGAAAAGAATAGGTGATCATGGATGAGGCATGGATAGGCAATTTATCTTTAAGATTCACGGACATCACCGATCAGCTCACGAAAAGCGTGCGTAGTGTGGCGGCAGGAAAAGTTCGGGAGATTGCTCTTTCTAACTGCCACTAGTTCACTATAATAATCTCCCTTGAATGGGAGTCTTATATATAGTTCTTTTCTTCCTATCGTCATTATTTGCTCTCTTTGCGGTTTCTCCAATAAGTTCTTTTCAATGAAACGCTCTGGATAGCCATTAATCAGTAAGATTTTCTTGAGATTTTCTAATTCTTGGTCAATACTTTCGTGCGAGCAAATTCTTCTTGCGCGTTCTGCGAGGCACTGAACTAAGTTCCGTTTACGCTTAATTGGCACGAGACGAGATAGACTTGACCTTTCCCATGACCCTGCGACCCTAACGCGTGATGACACGTCCACATCCTGATTGTTTTCCCAACCTTGTTGCGATCACATCCTCCCATCCCACCCCTTTCCCAACCACACACCAAAAACAATCAAAAACCACGAATCACACAACCATTGATGAACATTTTCATTTTCATTTGACTATGTAACTGTATCAGCCCGAAGAAGAAGTCAAAAACGAACTTGTTCGCTAAAACTATCGCGTCTTTTCTCCATGCCGACATGCGAATTTTCCATGTTTTTTATTCTTAACTCAGCTTTGATTGGTATAGGTTTCTGTGCGAATTATTTTGTTAAGTGCATCATTAGCAGTGTCATGGAACGTATCTGTGTTTTCTAATACGCATTTAATAACAAAATCGGAAAAGCTCCAAATATTAAATTTCAAGTACTTTCCTCAATTTTCACCAGTTGTCCAATTTTTCGTCATGCCCTATCCGGAGGGGTTCGGATTCCAATGGTATCACTGTCGTATAAAGCCACCAACGAACCGGTTCTACAACATAAACGGGGCAGTTCAGAACGTCAAAAGCTGGACAACACTCTAAACTCTATGCTCTCGAATGGTCCATATGAGGTTCCTATTTGCATAGGCACAGAAGAACTTACTTCTTCTGACTCAAGAAAACAAGTTTTGGTGGGTTTGAGAGAAGAAGACTAATCGTTCCCAATTTTTAGCCTTTCGAGCATTGCCGTGTTCTGGCCAACTTCTATTACGCTTCTGAACAGCAATTGCAAACAGCAATCAATGTTGCTTTGAAAGCTAGGGAAAGCTGGTCTCGCACGGACTTTGACACTCGTGCCCGTATCTTCCTCAAAGCGGCTGATATGATCAGTAACCAAAGCCGTTTTCAGCTTCTGGCTTCCACCATACTCGGTCAGGTTTGTTATTCAGCACACTTACATGTGTGATGTACTACCCAATTTTCAGGCCAAGACAATTTTTCAGGCAGAAATTGACGCTGCTGCTGAGCTGGCAGATTTTCTCCGATTCAATGTACAATTCGCATCGGTAAGAAAATCTATAATCTATTTACACAATTTTATCATATATAGGAGGCTCTCAAATACAAACCAATTGATACTCCCGATGCTCAAAACCGAGTGATCTATAGACCCACAGAAGTAAGTATGCATGAATATTTAACTGGAGCTTTTAATCTCCTTGTAGGGCTTTTGGGCTGCTATCCCTCCTTTCAATTTCACAGCCATTGCCGGAAATCTTTCTAGCGCTCCCGCACTGATGGGAAATGTCGTCTTGTGGAAGCCTTCTGACACCGCGGTTTATTCCAATTATTTAGTTTATCGGTGAGTCAGAATTTCCAATTCTCCATACATGCATGTATCTTCCCATTCAAAGCTCCATAAGAAATAGCTAGCCGAACTGACACGTACCGTTACGCGTTTTTCATTCCAAGTAATTTATGCCTATCTGTTTTGTGGTTTTTATGGTCGGCCTAGACCTACAATCAAAGTGAGCATTTCTTTCAGAGTCCTCAATAGTATATTACGGGATCTTGGTATGATGAGCGTATGTAAAGCACAGAACAAACATTCGAGATGGTTACAATGACACCTCAGTTAGATTAGCTTCTTGATTCTCCAGTTGGTTGATCGGAAAACCGTTGTCTGATTCGTTCTAGAGTCGTCCTATCCAGTCTCATATTGCCGCTATCGTTGTGAGCGTGGTTCCGTGATGGGTTCTGTGCTCTCCAACTTATCGCCCCTCTGAATGTTGAATCGTGGGCCTGGGAGACGCGAATTTACGCTTTTTCTTCGATCGCCTTATATTGTTTCTGTGATCCGCGTGGGGTGTACGTACGTCTCTGTTCTGGGCTGGTTCGGTTTCTTTGGATATCTAATGGTAATCCCTTGGGAGTTCAGCCGTTTTGTTCAGCATTTGATTGATGTGTTTCATGCAGGTTTTCTCTGCAACATGGACGCCATATGTCGTGCTTCCTCATCGCCTCCCTATATGACCCATAGCCCATTTTTGATGAGCAGTTCAATATTTGTTCACCTATTTTTTTAGCTACCATGAAAAATACTTTTCGTGAATAAGAACTTGATGTTTAAGTCGCAAACGAGTATCATGGTGGTTCTGTTTTGAAGTCGGTTAACAATGTGGACTGCAGCGCCCTACTTTGATCCAGAAATAGCAAGTAGTAATTTAAGATATGAAAAAAAGTGGCATAGGATGTTTTGAAATCACTTGACTGCTATTTAGTCACGTTCTGCATTCGCTATCGATTTTGTGGCCTGTAAAATAGCTTTCTTTGGGACTACAGCAATAACGATCTGCGACTCCGGATCTGAATGTCTTAATAGGATTTTTTAGAGTAGCAACCTTGGATTAGCTCATTCGATTGTTAAGAGGCACCAAACACTTGATGGGCTTGGGTGTGGGTTTCACTCCTTGGGAGATCGTTAATTCCACAAAGGTTCATGCATTTAAATGCGATGGAAATGTTTGTGATAACAGACAGCAATGGACAACTGCTTTGTTCTGTTTGGGACTCGTCAGCAGGGCGTACTTTTTGTGTCCCTGTGAGCTCTCGAACCGCGAACATTTGAGTCGGGACTTCAAATCCTTACCCATGGGGTACACGGTCGACGGTCATCACCTTGTGCGAATGGCTCAATTAGTTTAAAGTATCAAGCTTGGATTAGTCTATTTGATTGCTCAGAGACACCAAGCACTCTTGATGGTCGCGGTTCGAGTCCTCACAGGGACACAAAAAGTACGCACTGCTGACGAGTCCCAAACAGGACGAAACAGCTGTCCAATGCTCTTTGTCGGTTATCACAAACATTTCCATCGCATGTAAATGCTTTAATAGTAGATCAGTAGATCAGAAATCAGACAGTCACAAGCTTTCTGACATTCCCGAAACAAATTCCACTGTTGGCTCTTAACCAGAAGCCAATCTAGCGGTCCACTTAATTGATCCATTTGAGGCACGAATTCACATTAGTAACTGACTTGCCCCAGGATGACCTAAGCTTGGAAACCTTGTCAGGTTTTTTTAATTACGCATTTGAGTGTGATGAACTACAGACGAGGCGAACCCCATAGTCACGAGGACCTGCTGTTCAGTGGTGGAAACAGGCAACCTAAGCCCCGGGACTTGGAGTGGCGAACCACATAAGGCCCCGATAGGTTAGGCGTCGTACTGAACCGGACGACAGCAGAGCTGCCTACCACCAAAGTCGGGTGGTGGTGGCGGGGCTCAAACCTCAGACCATATGGTCNGCACGCTCGTGACAGCGACTAAACTGCTGCGCCACCACCACAGGTGGAAGCATTTGTTTGGTTGCGCTGATTTTTGAGGGATCTGGTCGAAATCCATACCTATCAATGATTAAGCCGAGATACTGATTCCGTACAAAAGTTGCATCTATCAACTCTCAACTTGAAACTGCAGTCACTGATACAACTGAGTGCACCTTCTAATCCTGTTACTAATTCTTGGTTTTTGTATCTCGTGACTAACATTTGGGTAAACTGAAACTCCTGGCAACCTGACCAAAATACAGATCGTAGGCGAATATATGTTTTCGGCGGGTTCCTTCTCAAGCCATTACAATCGCACTTATGTAAGAAAATATCGGGAGAGTGTTGTGTTGAAGTCAAACAGTCGAGGTCAGATAACTATAGCAAAGGGGTGAGGTACGGACACGGTTGTCTTCAAGTCTCTTGTTCAAATGAGAATGGGTTACGTAACCGTTGATAATCGATTTGGGTCATCACACCGCTCATGCCTGATGTCCGTTTTGGGTCAGGGAAGTTTAGGTGCTTAAGCAAGTATTTTTGAGCACATTATNATGATTACCTCGGCTGTTGCTAGCCTTAGATTTGTGTTGTGGGACGTGATAAATGATGGTCAAAGCCGAATTAGCATCCACCCTATGTCCAGTTTCAACTAAGTGATCATCAATCGAACTGAAAATAACTCCGATTCCTCGATTGTTAAGCCATATGGGTTGATGTTCCTTGATGCCTTGGCGTGTGACCTACATAAGTGGCACTACAGGTGCACTTGAATTGATAGATGAGATTGACGAGGTCAACATAGGCAACTTATCCTTGTTCTGACATCGGATTGAAGGGTGATGTCAAGAATACGCAATGAGTTTGGCAGCATTGAACGTTGCTTTGACTGCGGCACTCAAGACTCTAGTAACCCTTTCAGCTGCTGGATCTCCTTTGAACGGAAGTATAATTTATTTAACACCGGTTTGTAGACAAGCATGGTGCCAATATCACGACAATAATAATAATAATATCAATAATAGGGGGCAGGTGGATTGGGATACCGAACAAAGTGGATAGATGGAGAAACAGTTAAACACGGGAAAATGGTAGATAAATGGGATAACAAATTTTTTGTTTCACCGTACACTTTTTTATATTTTTTGCGTTGTTTGTTATTTTTACGGGGCACGAGATTTCGAAAGGCAGACCGCACAACATACGCTCCACCGACTTCTATTCTGGGCCATATCTCTGAACATCTTAAACCAACGACAATCCTCGCCGCTTGGGCCCCAACC